GAGGGGGGGTTAGAACGTGGAGCATTAGTGGGCGCTGAAATCTGCTCTGGGAGGAAGACAGCGGAGGCCTCGTGGCTCCACCAGCTCTTCGGGCTAGCACCGTTAGCTCTGGGTTAGCGCTGTTAGCTCTGGGTTAGCGCCACTAGCTTCCGGGTTAGCGCTGTTAGCTCCAGGTTAGCGTCATTAGCTTCCGGGTTAGAGCCATTAGCTTCCGGGTTAACGCCATATGCTTCCAGTTTAGCGCCATTAGCTCCAGGTTAGCGCCATTAGCTTCCAGGTTAGCGCCATTAGCTTCCGGTTAGCACCATTAGCTTCTCCGGCTCGTCCTGGATGCTCGAGGAAGATGCCCCCTTAATGGTTCAGCTCGAGTTAGGACAAACTTCCTTTAGGAAGCAGAAACAGAAAACTTCCTGCCTCCTAAAGGGAGTTTTTCCCTCCCTGGGTCTCCTAGTGCTGCTTTTGGTGGGAACTGTTGTTCTTCTCTAAATAACTCAGAGTCTGTTTGGAAAGCTGGGAGATTCCTTTTGTTGGGATTTGGAGCTACAGAAATACAACAAAAAGCTTCCGGTTAGCGCCATTAGCTCCGGGTTAGCACCGTTAGCTTCCGGAGCAGAAACCTTTCTTCCTCCTAAAGGCAGTTTTTCCCTCCCTGGGTCTCCTAGTGCTGCTTTTGGTTGGAACTGTTGTTCTTCTCTAAATAACTCAGAATCTGTTTGGAAAACTGGGAGATTCCTGTTGTTGGGATTTGGAGCTACAAGAATAATTTTAAAAAAAGCTTCCGCTTAGCACCATTAGCTCCGGGTTAGCGCCGTTAGCTTGCGGTTAGCTTCTCCGGCTCGTCCTGGATGCCCGGCTTGTCCCGTCCCATCACAGAAGATGCTTCACCCCCTAATGGTTCTGCTCGGGTTAGGAAAAACTTCCTTTAGGAGGCAGAAATATTCCTACCTCCTAAAGGAAGTTTTTCCCTCCCTGTGTCTCCTAGTGCTGATTTTGGTGGGAACTGTTGTTCTTCGGCAAATAGAGATTCCTGTTGTTGCGATTTGGACCTACATAAATAAATAAAAAAAGCTTCCAGTTAGCGCCATTAGCTCCGGGTTAGCACCGTTAGCTTCTGGTTAGCGCCATTAGCTCCGGGTTAGCGCCGTTAGCTTCCAGTTAGCGTCATTAGCTTCTCAAACTCGTCATGGATGCCCAGCTTGTCCCGGAAGGAAGCACAAAAAGGAAGTTTTTCCCTCCCTGTGTCCCCTAGTGCTGCTTTTGGTGGGAACTGTCGTTCCCTAAATAACTCAGAGTCTGTTTGGAGAGCTGGAAGATTCCTGTAGTTGGGGTTTTGGAGCTACAGAAATAAAATCAAATTGAATTTAGTGAGCGTCCCATCTCCTGTCCCCAAACTGTTCAGCATCTCTGGAGTGTCTGATTGCTCTTTTTTACTGGAGCTCATCCATTATTCATCCCCCCCCCCCCCCCCCGGGGCTGTGTGTCTTCTGAGGGTGTGTTTGCTCTTTTCTTTTTGGGGCTCGGTTTGTGTCGGTTTCCTCACAGAGGAGCCCGGCTCTCGGTTTGTTTTATTTTTTATTCTTCCCGTTTTTTTTACTCTCTTTTTTTATTCCCCCCTCCTCCCCCCTTCCTTTCTTTTTTTTTTTTCCAAATTTCCTCCCCTCCTCACACATCCCCCCAAAAACAGAGGACAGTCCTCAGTTGCCCGCCTCTCCCGATGCCGGTAACAGCACGGTGACCAATGGTACGTCAGCCCAAAGTGTTAAGCCCCGCCCCCTTTTGGGTGAATGGACCCCACAGTAGCCTCCGGTGGACTTAGACCCCCCAGAGCCCCCCAGTTCCTCTTCCCTGTGTCTGAGGATGTGTGGACTCCGTCGGCCTTCCCCTCGCCATCGTTTCTGTGTGATTCTGATTCTGTCTAACCCTAACCCTAACCCTAACCCTAACCCTAACCCTAACCCTAACCCCCCACAATCTGACCGAGACCTCTTCTCTCTCTCAGGAAAACAGCCCGATGGAGCCGTTGAGAACAATCAGAACAAAGGTAAAGGCCCTGGCTTTTTTTTTTTTATTTGTTTTGGTCACAAAACTTAATAAGTACAGCAGAACCTCCAAAGAGGAATTTAACTGGTTCCAGGACCGACTTAAATTATATTAATTCAAAAGCAACTTAGCTTATTTTTATTTAGTTTTAATATTTTATATATATATTTTCTATTTTTCAGATTTTTTGCATCTAACTTGTAATAAGTTCATTTAAAACTTAACTTATTTATTTTCATTAAGTATTTTATTTTTTTCCATTTTTCAGATTTATTTTCATCTAACTTTCACTACATTAATTTAAAACTAACTTAGATTAAAAAATCAGGAAAAATAGAAAAAAACTAAATAAGCTAAGTTATTTTTAAACTATCGTAGGGAAAGTTAGATGAAAAATAAAAGTCAGAAAAATAGAAAAAATAGAAAAACTAAATAAAAATAAATAAGCTAACTTTCACTAAGTTAATTTAAAACTTAGCTTACTTATTTATATTTAACTTTTAGATATTTTTTCTATGACTTTGACGTATGTTGGAAATTTACTTCAGGTGTCGAGTCAAATATTTGATCAAATTTCACTTCGTGTGTTGGAAAATTTGTATGTTCAGGCATCATAAATAGAGGTTCTGCTGTATTAAATAATACCCAACTTGAGGGGGGTGAATATAAAGGGAGAGCAGAGAAACAGAAACCATCCCAGAAGAGGAGAAAGTTACTCCCAGAAAGATAGAAAACATCCTCATTCATAAAATGTATTATTATTATTTTTTCTTTTGTTTTGTTGTTGTTATTGTCGTTTCTGTTTCCAGCTAAGAAGCAGGACGGGGGCGTTGCCATGGAGATGCAGCCCCTGAAGAGCGCGGAGGGCGGCGAGGTGGAGGACCGAGAGAAGAAGAAGACCAACGTCCCAAAGAAGGAGAAGAGCGTTCTGCAGGGAAAGCTCACCAAGCTGGCCGTTCAGATCGGGAAAGCAGGTAATCAGAGAGAAAAACTTTAGTTTCACGGGTTTTTAAACGACTTTTTCCACCACTGTGGCTCTGGTGTCTCTATCAAAGTCCCCTAAAACAATCCCCCTATCCTGGTCAGGAGAAAATGTTACTTAAAATACGTTCGGAGTACAATGTCGAACTTTTATCTGTGAAAACTTCCTATCAACATGTTAGAAAAATAACCATTAAACCCCAAAAAATCACCTGTATTTTTTTTATCAATAATCACACAATTCATAGATAATTCACCTCTTCCCCCAAAGTCTCTCAGTAGTGTAAATCCAACCTGCAAAAATACCAAAAAGACACAAAAATGTACAAAAAAAACAAGTCCCAAAATCAATCTTCAGCAATGCATTGCACAAAAGAATTTTAGGAAAAAATTAATAAACTAGATGGGTCTCACCAGCACATCCAGCGGAAAAAGAGATAAATCCTCCAAGCCTCCACTTCCTTTTTTTATTTTATTTTTTTTAAAGTCCTTATTTCCAACGATATTGTTCTTTTGGCAGATTTTTCTTTCTTTTTTCAACCACCATCCGGCCGGACTATTTGTTGCTTTTAGATAAAATAAAACTCCTCTATTTCATCCCACATGCCCCCTTTTTTCCTTAAAGAGGAACACTACACCCAAACTCTCAGAACACCCTAAAGACACAGAGAATAAAATACATTTCCATGAGTTATTGAGGCTGATACCTATATTGTTAATATCAAACTGAGCACCTCCAATTTTTTAAAGACCCTAAACCCAGGAGATCCACAGAAATAGAAACACCCTCCAACCTAATGTGGCAGGGTCACAAAAGAATAATAAATACTAATAATAAAATAAATAAATAAATAAATAGATAGATAAATATGTTAATACGTAAATACTTAAATAAATACAAATAAACACATAAATTATTTAAAAAAAAATAAAAATAATAATAAATAAAAATAAATAAATAAAGTACATTTTCAATAATTATTGAGGCTGATACCTATATTGATAAAACAAAACAATGTCAGTGTTATTATCAAACTGAGCACCTCCAATTTTTCAAAGACCCCTCCACAGAAACAGAAACACCATCCAACTTAAAGTGGCAGGGTCACAAAAGACCCAAAAATGACTTAACCGTGGGTAAAAACTGCATAAAACTGAGCTAAACCCCAGCGGGTTTTGATCTCTCTCCCTCCCAGCAGGGCTAATCTCCTCCCCTGACTCTTCCACTTTTAGCTAGTTGCTCTGGGACATTCTCAGCCCAGATCCTTATCAACCCACTTTGTTTGGGGAGGTAAAGGACCGTTTTCTTTTGGAGGTGAAGGAGACGAGGCCCTGTTTCACCCCTCCATGAAAACAGCAGCTTACCTTTAATTTGTGATGGATGAGAGGGATTTTATACCGTTAGTCCCCTTTTTTATTATGCTAAGTTTAAAGTCATCAATTGTGTTTATGAGAAACATGACTGCAGAGCACCACTCTAAGTGTACTAAGTCAAATATTTTTTCCCTTTAAGTAGAATATCCCCTTAACACAAATTCGCAACATAAATTTCTGTTAACTTTTGTGCAAAGGTAAAATCAATAATTTCATTATCATTATTTACCATCTACTTAAAGGCAAAAACACTCATAAAACATTTTTTGTATACAGCTATATAAATTCAGGCTTAAAGTAGAATATGTATATTTATTTTCCAACAGGGCAACAGAAAAAAAAGAGACTTTGATTATAAAAATAAGATAATTTTGTTACCAGAATTTGCTCCTTACTCTTATTTGGGGCCTAAACATACATGAATACACCATTAAATAAAAGATCAGCACCAATGGATTGTTAACCCAATTCTTTAGTTGGAAACCTGAGAATAAACCAGAGTAGATTAAAAGTATAAAAATGACATTTATTGGACACAGTTAAGTGTATCAGCTGGGCTCTGACAGACTAAAACCTCTCTCTGGGTCTCAAAGAGCCCTGAGATCTGGGTGATGGGCATTATCTCCTGGGCTCCATCCGCCTCCTCAAAGGAGGACTGGACACAACCAAGTCCTATTGGCCAGTTACCTCTGGGCAGGAACAGGCCAGGTCCTAATTCATGCAGATGACAGGAATGTGCTAACAAATGAAAAAGAGAGAAAAGAGAGTCTGTGGTCACAACCAGAGACTTCAACACAAAAATATAGTTCTAAAAGGAATAAGACAATCAGTAATTTACATAGATCGTGTGATAGCATACTATGCTATCACATGATCTATGTAAATGACTAATTACTAAAATTACTAAAATTAAAATTACTGAAATTGTAAATTACTAACTACTAAATTCTTAATTATAGCCAAATTCTAACACGTGTTTGGCACAGTGGACGGAGGTCCTCTTCTCCCAACAAGAGCAAAACAGATAGAAACCAAATGAAAATATCGTGCCATTAACTGACACGGTTGTCGGAAGTTTTACTGTTTATGCATTTAGCATTTATGCATTTTAGCATTAGTGGATCTAATGCAACAGAGAAAGAAAAAGAGAGAAAAAGAGACTTTAACACAAAAATGTAGTTCTATGAGGAATAAGACAATGAGTTATTTACATAGATCATGTGATAGCATGCTATGCTAAAATGAGTCATTTTAGCCAAATTCTAACAGGATGATACTGTGACGTTATTTCCATAGCTTAGC